GCCCTTCCCCGGCGAACGCATCAAAATGTCCTCTTCGGAGAGAGGCGCGTTCCATATGCATGCGCGCGGTGCCTCTCGGTGCGGGCGCGGGATTTGTCCCGGGAACGCGCGGCCCGCATGAATATGTATCGCGCGTGCACTCTGAGCCGCGTGAATGTCAAACCCGGAGACATCAAGGAATACGGCTGAGAGCATAACGCGCCTCTTGCCTTTCACTTTGATTTTTTTTATATTGAATGTTTTTTTCTGTTTTCGTTTTTATTTATTCATTTCCCCCCCCCCCGCCCCGCCCCGCCCCGCAACCCCGCCCCGCCCACTGAGGCAATGACACGGGGTTGCGCGCTGCGAGCTCAAGGTCACCCTGGGAGGAGGGGAGGGGGGGGTCAGAGGTCACCGCCTGCACCACTGTTCCCAGCCGCCCAGACTTACACAGAGACCCATCGACTCACATAGAGACCTATAGACTCACATAGAGAACCATAGACTCACATAGAGACCCGTAGACTCACATAGAGACCCACAGACTCACACAGAGACCCATCGACTCACATAGAGACCCACAGAATCACACAGAGACCCATAGACTCACACAGAGACCCATAGACTCACATAGAGAGCCATAGACTCACATTGAGACCCATAGACTCACGTAGAGACCCATAGACTCAAACAGAGACCCATCGACTCACATAGAGACCCGCAGACTCACACAGAGACCCATAGACTCACGTAGAGACCCATAGACTCAAACAGAGACCCATCGACTCACATAGAGACCCACAGACTCACACAGAGACCCATAGACTCACATATAGACGCATAGACTCACACAGAGACCCATAGACTCACATATAGACCCATAGACTCACACAGAGACCCATAAACTCACAGAGATCCATATACTCACACAGAGACCCATAGACTCACATAGAGACCCATAGACTCACATTGAGATCCATAGACTCACATAGAGACCCATAGACTCAAACAGAGACCCATCGACTCACATAGAGACCCACAGAATCACACAGAGACCCATAGACTCACACAGAGACCCATAGACTCACATATAGACCCATAGACTCACACAGAGATGCATAGACTCACATATAGACCCATAGACTCACACAGAGTCCCATAGACTCACTTATAGACCCATAGACTCACACAGAGACCCATAAACTCACATAGAGATCCATAGACTCACATAGAGACCCATAGACTCACACAGAGACCCATAGACTCACATAGAGAACCACAGACTCACACAGAGACCCATAGACTCACATAGAGACCCATAGACTCAAACAGAGACCCATCGACTCACATAGAGACCCACAGACTCACACAGAGACCCATAGACTCACGTAGAGACCCATAGACTCAAACAGAGACCCATCGACTCACATAGAGACCCACAGACTCACATATAGACGCATAGACTCACACAGAGACCCATAGACTCACTTATAGACCCATAGACTCACACAGAGACCCATAAACTCACATAGAGATCCATAGACTCACATAGAGACCCATAGACTCACACAGAGACCCATAGACTCACATAGAGAACCACAGACTCACACAGAGACCCATAGACTCACGTAGAGACCCATAGACTCAACAGAGACCCATCGACTCACATAGAGACCCACAGACTCACACAGAGACCCATAGACTCACACAGAGACCCATAGACTCACATATAGACCCATAGACTCACACAGAGACCCATAGACTCACATATAGACCCATAGACTCACACAGAGACCCATAGACTCACATAGAGACCCATAGACTCACATTGAGACCCATAGACTCATATAGAGACCCATAGACTCAAAGAGAGATCAATTGACTCACATAGAGACCCACAGACTCACACAGAGACCCATAGACTCACATTGAGACCCATAGACTCACATAGAGACCCATAGACTCAAACAGAGACCCATTGACTTACATAGAGACCCACAGACTCACACAGAGACCCATAGACTCACACAGAGACCCATAGACTCACATATAGACCCATAGACTCACACAGAGTCCCATAGACTCACATAGAGACCCATAGACTCACAGAGAGACCCATAGACTCACATAGAGACCCATAGACTCACATTTAGACCCATAGACTCATATAGAGACCCATAGACTCACACAGAGACCCATAGACTCACATAGAGACCCACAGACTCCCACAGAGACCCATAGACTCACACAGAGACCCATAGACTCACATAGAGACCCATAGACTCAAATAGAGTCCCATAGACTCACACAGAGACCCATAGACTCACATAGAGACCCACAGACTCGCATAGAGACCCGTAGACTTACAAGAGAGCCATAGACTCACACAGAGTACCATGGACTCACGTAGAGACACACAGAATCACACAGAGACCCGTAGACTCACATAGAGACCCATAGACTCACACAGAGACCAATAGACTCACACAGAGACCCATAGACTCACATAGAGACCCATAGACTCACACAGAGACCCATAGACTCACATAGAGAGCCATAGACTCACACAGATACCCATAGACTCACACAGAGAGCTATAGACTCACATAGAGACCCGTAGACTCACATAGAGAGCTATAGGCTCACATAGAGACCCATATTCTTAGAGACCCAAACACATACATATAACACAGCCCCACCCTCCTGTCACCCCCCCCCGCCCCCCCCCACCCCCCCAACTAACGACAACTCACTGTGCCCAGTATAATGTTTTGTGGCGTTAATTCGGCAATCTCGCCACTAACCCTTCACTGCGCCTCGTGAAATATTTACATGTATTTTTATACCCAGTCCGAGGCTTGCTGTCGATTGGTGACAGACCTAGTTTCCTTACAGAGGCGAGAATAAAAAAAAATTCTCAATTGGAAAGGCGAGATTCCTTTCGAGATTCAGCTCGAGTTTAAATCAATTTGTTCAAAGGCTTACGCACAACAATATTGCGCGGGCGACATGAAGGGACATTGCAATTCAAGGCTTACGCGGACACGCGAGGTCGCGCTGTGTGTGTGTGTACCCGGCGTGCGTGGGGAGCGCAGCGGCGCAGCGGTTAGCGCACTCCTCCGACGCTCAGCGACGATTCTGGGCCTCCCCTAGGTCGACTCAGCCTCAAGTGGGTACCCGGTGCGGCGTGTGGTAAACGTCACCACTACGGAGACCAAAGGCGGCCGGGCGGGCGTGGTGCTGGCCGCCACCCAACCCCCTCGTTGTGCCGTGCCGGCCTTAATAGGTGCTCGCTAACGGCACTTGCCCCCACAGTCTGCAAAGGCTACACGGGGGGCAGGGGTTTAATCTTTGTCTTTGTGTATGCACTCATATACAATACATCTACAGGGGCGGGGGAGGGGGGGGCAGGGGGGAAATCCTATTTGCAGTGCTTCAACGTGAATGGATCGGTTACATCCTGGGGGTAAAATGACTCAATTAAATGGACACGTGTTTTAGTATTCGATGGCCAACTCGCATTGTAACGACGAGACTCTGTGCGTTCAATGCGATTTCCCTCCTTGCCGCCAGCCCTCCCCCCCCCCGCCCCCCCCCCCCCCCCCACCACGCGCGAGGGATGCGTGTTGATTGACGGGAAGAGGAGGAGGTGGTGGAAGTTGGCTTGGGGGCTCAGAAACAATGAGCCGGCAATGGCTGAGCGCGTGGGTTCGAATCCGGGGAATTGTCAGCCACGCCGTGGTTAAGCCGGGATTTTTTCCCAGGCGTTGAGTTGATGGACTTGGCACAGTTACCATAGACTCACACACGGACCCATAGACTCATATAGAGATCCGTAGACTCACATAGAGACCCATTTACTAACAAATAGACCATCGGACTCAAATAGATACCCGTTGATGAGCATAGAGACCCAAGACTCAAATGAAGACCCAGAGACTCGCGTAGAGACCCATAGATTCATGTAGAGACCCAAAGACACGCGTAGAGACTCATATACTCATAGAGACCTGTAGACTCACATAGAGACACATAGCTTTGCACAGAGACCCATAGACTCAAACAGATACCCGTAGACTAGCATAGACCCAAGACTCAAATAGAGACCCATTTACTCACAAAGAGACCCGTAGACTCACATAGAGACCCATAGCCTTGCACAAAGACCCATAGACTCAAATAAAGACCCATTGACTCATGGAGACCCACTCGCGTAGAGACCCATAGATTAATGTAGAGACCAAGACTCGCATAGTGACCCATTTACTTGCATAGAGACCCATAGACTCACGAAGAGACCCAAAGATTAACATAGAGACCCATAGACTGACATAGAGGCCCATAGACTCACACAGAGAACCATAAACTGACATAGAGACCTATAGACTCACAGAGAGACCCATAGACTCACACAGAGAACCATAGGCACACGCAACCCCCCTAGACTCACATATAGACCCGCAGACTCACATAGAGACCCATACACTCACAGAAAGACCCATAGACTCGCGCAGAGATCAATAAACTGACATAGAGACTCATACTCACATATAGACCTATACACTCACACTGAGACCCGTAGACTCATAGAGAGACCCATAGCCTCACACTGAAACCCGTAGACTCAGTTTAACAGCGACTCACATGGAGGAGGCCCTTAAGAGTTACAAAAAACCCCACAGAGTATTGGACAATCGACGCTCCGGGCCACCAACACACCGCGCTCGCACCAACACACGGCCGGTGCCGCTGACTGAGCGATGAATCGGCACGTCCGCTCACCACGCGACGCATTTCTCAACTGGCTCCGTTGGCTGGAGGAGGGGGTGCACGACGCAGCGTGCTCAGGCTCCGACCCGCGCGATCAATCCGACCCAAAAATCAAATCAGCCGCGAATCATGACATCGGTGGCGACAGCCCTGCAGCATTGTTAAAGTTGGGAGAGAAAAAAATATATAGAAAACTGTAATCATAAAAAAACGTGAAATAAACAGATGGGATGCGTGAGTCGCACTCTCACCTGGGACCCAGGGTTTCCTTGCTGGCCAAGTGCTCCTGGCTCACCTTGAAGTCCCTGCAAGAGACCAGAGATCACTACAAAGGAGCTGTGCACTTTCAAATTCATCGCGATTGAAAACTCCTTTCTTTAGAACTTTTTTGTTTGCGTTCAAGTTTCTTGTCCTTAGCCCAAGGACCTCCGAGCAACACAGTTGGCTACGTACAGTGGTGCAACAGAAGTTCAACGTACATGCATACTGCCCATAGACTAACACTGCCCATAGACTAACACTGCCCATAGACTAAACACTGCCCATAGACTCAACACTGCCCAAAGATTCCACACTGCCCATAGACTCAACACTGCCCATAGCCTCAACACTGCCCATAGACTCAACACTACCCATAGACTCAACACTGCCCATAGACTCAACACTACCCATAGAGTCAACACTCCCAATAATCTCAACACTACCCATAGACTCAACACTGCCCATGGACTCAACACTGCCCATAGACTCAACACTGCACCATAGACTCAACACTGCCCATAGACTCAAAACTGTTCTCTATGTATGCTGGTGCAAAAGAAGTTTCAAAGTGCATGCATACAGCCACGGTGCCCATCACGGATGCAGACATTATTATTATTATTACTATTGTCATCATCCTCTTCTTATCCGTACGGCCGGTGTTGGCGTCAGGAGTGATAGCTGTGATCGCACAGCGAAGTGGTGGAAGGGTCAAGGTGATCGCATCAGGAGGAGTAGCGGAGTGCTCAAGCATCACTGTGATGACGACGGCGACGACGATGCCTCCGTGTTGTTAACGGGGCATCGAGTCCCCGTCGCTCGCCCCATGCCTCTGTTCCAGTTGATAGACCGCAGTCTTCGGCCAGATTGTTTTTTTTTTAATTCTCCATTTGTTATTTCATTTCATTATCATTATCATGGACACGTGCAGGATGGCAGAGGAAGTGACGTAAAAACTTAAAATCATCTATATATGTATTTTCACCGGGTATGGCCCAAGGAGCAATGTAGCTCTCTCGCAGAAGCAACATGGCTATCGCAAATGACAGCTCAACGAAGTCGGCTCGTCATCGTCGTCGTCGTCATCATCACCTAGAAATGCATTGGCAGCAGCCGGGCACTCTAAGCGCGCGACGGCGATTCGAGAAGTGGAAGGGGAAAACCCGGAGGAACCGGAGAAAAAACCCACGCAGGCCACGGGCAGAGAGAGAGAGAGAGAGACACCCAAACTCCAAATATACAGCAGCAGGCGTCAGGGGTAGGCAGATACATTAGGTAGGCAGATGCATTAGGCAGGCAGATGCATTAAACAATCGCACGTGAACTCAATCGTACGTCAACGCTGGCGAAGCAGCAAATTGACGTCGCGCGCGGGGGGTCTCCCGGGATCATTTTGCTCAGCCAGGCGAGAAACTACGGAGGCCAGGGGGGGGAGTCTCCGGTTGCGTCTAAAGAGAAGCCCCCCACCCCACCCCCCCCCTCCTTCGGCAGGACGCGTGGCCCACGGACGCATCGCGCGGGAGCACAATCAGAAACAGAATATCGTATTGTACACTGCAGGGGGAATCCGATGAGCTATGAAGCTCTTTCTTCACGGATGTTTTGTCGGGGCACGGGGGTCAGAACGTCACACGAACAAACAATTTCAAACACACGATATTGAGTGCAAGGAAGGTAAACGAATCACGCCCACACATGCGAATAAAACCAAACCATCCCCATCCCATCAGACAGAGCACTCACCACGTTGCCCTTCTGGCCGACAGGACCATCCGAGCCAGGAGGGCCCTACAGCATCCACGCGGCAGAAAATACAACACCATCGTCATCATCACCACCATCGTCATCATCATCACCACCATCGTCATCATCATCATCACCACCATCGTCATCATCATCACCACCACAATTATTATCGTCAACGTCATCATCACCATCGTCATCATCACCATCATAATTATTATCGTCAATGTTATCACCATCACCATCGTCATCATCACCATCGTAATTATGATCGTCAACGTCATCATCACCATCGTCAACGTCACCATTATTGCCATCATCATCACCATCATCGTCATGACCATCGTCGTCTCACTGGATATTTTTGCCAGTATCAAAGTATGAAAAATAATAATGAAAATAGGTCTTTACCCTTTCTGTCAATAAAAAACAGGATTTGTGCCAAGCTGTTCAAACACCAAATAGACACACTTAGCAAGGAATCAACAAGTTACTGCATGAACCACACACACACTACTTGTGGTGAACATGCAAACAAAACATCCTCGGATTATAATATGTGATGCATTGTCCTTGAAACTTATTGGCACACATCACTACCACCACTGTCGTTATCATCATCAACATCTTCATTAACGTCGTCAACATTATTATACTCTCACATTTTCATTGCAAGGGAGTTGCAACCCAAAGAAAACTCAGCAAATTATTCAGCGATGCAGCTACTGCTGGCTGCTGCTCCGTTGGCAATAAGCAATAACGCCTCAACACCGCACGGTTGGCTACGTACGGTGCGAAAGAAGTTCACCGTACGTATGTAATGCCTGACAAATTACCCCAAGCCAATATGCAGCCTAACGGCTATTCGAAAATAAACTCTAAGGGTCTCCAATTGGTAGCAATAGGCCCCCATGGTGATTCGTCGGGAGGCAGACTTTTAAAGGATTGGAGGAATACGGTTTGAACGAGATCAATCGGACAACAGAGATATATTATGGCTTAGCAATCATTGGAAGGATTTGATCAACCATTTCGGGTCTTAATTTATTGATCACGCTTACGGTGGCTTTCAGACCGCATCCATTAATTTTCGTCTCCCTCCTCCTCTTTTCCGAACATAGATGGACTCGTCCATCTGAACAAACTGTCAAATCGCTCTCCGTGGTGCTAACGTTAAAAAACCGCCAATATTTTCAAATTTTCTTGCTGTGGTTTTCACACCTGATGACGATTGCTTGTGTTGCAGTCGAAACGTCGTGAGAATTGTATTGTTTTATATTTTTATTATTTTATTGTTTCCCTTCTACGTGACTTTACCGAAAGAACCAAGAATAAGAGAGAGCAACCGTTAGAGGGGAAGGACGGGGATTGGCTAAAGGAAAAACAAACCAGGACAAGAAGTTTTGAGAAAAGGGGGCCGAGGATTATTAAATGGGGAGAGCACGAGGAGTGGGGACGTTTGGAGGAAGACGCAAGCCGGAACACAAGCACGAAGTTTAGGGTCCTTTTTTGTGACTGTGTCTACCTTACTGCTTCGCCTTCAGAGCCGTTACACGTACATACGTACCATCACCACCGCCGCCATCGCGTGTGCGTGGCCTGTGCCGAAAAGCTAAACATGAAGTCATCGTACCGGCGAGGGAACCTCTTACGGTTTGAGTTACGAGGGCTACTGACCACAGGGCCCGGGTTCCCGGGGATTCCTCTCGGTCCGATGAGTCCCCGTGGTCCCTGGGCGAGGGGGGGAACGGGACAGAGGGCAGGACGCGTCAGCCCGAGCGATCCGACCTCCCATCGTCAGCCTAGAGATGCGAGTACCGCCGAGCACGCGTGTGCAACAACAACAACAACGTAGCGTGACACATTTCGTTTTTATCACTGTTGTTAATATCCCCCCCCCCCCCCCCCCACCAGGGTTTGTTTCACCGAGTCTCAAGACTCTTGTTCAGGAGGGTCCTGCCATGGTTTCTGCAGTGCGGGTGTTGATGTTGCTATTGCAGCTGTCGTGCGTGCGCGCGCGTGTGCGACACAAACGGAGTAAATGTGCAGGTGATGCTTCAGCATTGCTGGGATGTTTTTGGTCTAAGCCGGTTGTATTGTATGGGGTTGTTGTAGCGGGATAGAGAAGACCCCACTCACGCGCACACACACACACAGCTCCCCACCACAGAGGTGTCCCGGCTCGCGAGTTGAACCCAGGGGCTGCAAGGAACGAGTGCGACCACTGGTCGCATATTTCCGGCCCAGGAAGCGACGTCCGGTTGGTGGGGATTGGAAACACCAAAGTTCGAGGGTCCGTCAAATTAATAGGGAGGCTCCGCTGGGACACATAGGGAAAGCTGGCAAAAGCCCCCTCCCACTCTTACATAGCCACACCCCACAGCTCAGGTAGCCCTGCTCACAGCCCCCTGTAGCTCCGGCTGCTGCACGTGGCTGCCTGCAGTGATCCGGTGCTGCGGAGGCAGCAGCGAGGATTTGCGGATCACAGCACACGGATGTTGCGTGAAACTCCCATCCCACGGGGCGTCGAGGGAGAGCGGTACCCATGGCTCTAGCAGGAGATGGCGGTGCAGCAGAAATGTGGCTTGTTTCGTCTTGCACGGGGGATAAAGCGTTGCCCCCTCGGACGCGCGCATTTCCTCCACACGCGCTTCGGTTTCCTCCCACATGCAAACGCGAATTAATTGGCCGGTAACACCGCAATAATAAGTAGAGGACCGCAGAGCTGGGGCAATTGTTGGTCATGCCTGACTGCTACTGCTGCCGTCCCCCTGCACGTCTGCGGTTCCACCGAGTCGATCTCTCGCTCACTCCCTCTCCCTCTTCAAAGGGGGAGCGAGCGGGGAGTGGCCGTGTGGCGTCGCGAAGTTGAAAACAAAGTTGGAAAGACGCCGTCGGCGGAAAATCGGAGGGATTCCTCCTGCACGCGCGTGCGCGGCTCAGGCTAACTCCAAACCACGGAGCGCGTAACTTCGCACTGTGCCCCCACAAGTGTACGCCCGAAGGGTGAATTGGCAATTCCGGCAAATCCCCAGACGAAGCAATTGAACGGCCAAATCACTTAGAGCCGAGTGTTTAATAGTTGCTCTTCATTGGCCGTACGAGAGAGAGAGAGAGGATTGCCGCTGCCTCCGAGCGTGAGGTCTAATAGTTGGAAATGTGTTTCCAATGTGCTCAACGTCAGCTCAGCTCCGCCGTCATCTTTAAAACAGAAAAAAATTGGCATAAAAAAATTACAACGTGACGCCTTCTTTCAAAAAGTGTCACTCTATATATTCAGAGGTGGACCAGAGGTGAGAGACACTGAGCCGAGCTGCCCTCCCCCCCCCCCCCACTCGCTGACAAAGACAAAGATTCCCCATATAGCCTGAACAGACTTTTTGGGGCAAGTGTCGTCAGCGAGTAGCACCTATGAAGTCCGCCACGGCAAACGATGGGGTGGGTGGCCAGCACCATGCCCCAGTGGCAATGCTTACACACCACACTTGGGCAGGCCCAGGACCGTTTCCGATAACCGTCATTTGCTGTTGGCCGTGAGCGGGAATGGAACTCGGGCTGCCGGGTTCGTAGCAAAGCATGCTAACCGCTACACTACTGCTCCTCTTGAGTCTGGGTTCACATCCCCGCAGGAGAGTTGATGGTCTCTGCCTGGTCACCGATGACCACAAAAAAAAAACGATTAAGTGAAAATCGAGTTCTGCACTTAATTTGACAGCTTCAGGAGGCCGTAATCCAGCAGTGGATTGAACGTGACCAATGACGATGGTGGCTGCCTTTGGCTAAATTACAGCTCTGAGAATTAAAAATATTGGTTTGACTGTCATGTGATGAACGTTGAACGTTACTCCCATGCGGCAGAGCAGGTGGAAAGTGCTGCCCCTCCAACTGCGTGTGGATCAGAGGTCATGTAAATCAAGGATTGAGAAAGTAGCTCTGTGATATTTGCTTCTGTGGACTGTTCCATGTGGACCAGAGGTCATTTGATGGGATCTCAGAGGTGGCTCTGTGATATCCGCTTCCATGGGCTGTTCCGTGTGGGCCAGAGGTCATTTGATGGGCTCTCAGGTGTAGCTCTGTGATATCCACTTCCGTGGGCTGTTCCATATCTCAATATTCTCTTTGAGAGGTGTCACCGATATTTCGTGCAACGACGCGACACAAATTTACAAAAATGGGATAAGAACCTTTCGAAAAACAAGTGGCACGACTCAGCCTGAGAACTGCAGATGGCGGGTTTACATTTGTTACCAAATCCGTCAACGAGCAACAGAACCGCAAACATCCCCTTTGCCAAATTCCAGTCCCTTTAGAAGGGGCGGCAGCATCGCAATGGCTTGCACGTTCCACGCCAGCCGGGACATGGGCACGCGGCGCTTGAATCGAAGTTTCTCTCCCGCTCGATCGCTCGCTCGCTCGCTCACTTACAGACTCTCCTGGCAAGCCCCTGGCTCCGATCGCCCCCGTGTCTCCCTGGGGAGAGAATAAACACAAAAAATAAATTTTAGAATACAATCTCTCGCAACAACAACAACAACGTTGAGCCGTTTGAACACAGCCTGGCTTTCAGGGATTTAACCACGGACTTAACAGCGCTACACCTCCCATCGCATAGGGCTTATCGAGGCTCATTCGTCCGAATGACATAAGGGGAACACAGAGCTGAAGAGGTTGCAACGAAGCGTGGAGAAGTCCTCGCCTCTTTGGCATCCCACCGGGAGACAGGGGGGATGAATACTGCGGGATTGGTGAACGCACACACGCGCGCGCGCTGGTGCGAGTCGAAGTTCGTGACATCGACTGTCCCCTAAAGTGGGGGGCCTGGGTCAGGGGTGCCGTGGCTAGAATGGACGACAATGGCCGGCGGTAGAGACTGATGACAGACTGGCAGCCAAAGCAGGGATCGTTGCATTGAAAGGAAGTCCACTGCAGAGGTGACAGGTGAAATAAAAAAGGAAAGATTCCCTTTGTAGGCTTAGCAGACTGTTGGGGCAAGTGCTGTTGGCGAGCAGCGCCTATGAAGGGCAAAAACAACACAGCACCACGCCCGGCCGCCTTTGTCTCCGCTGTGATGTTTACACACCGCACCAGCTACTGCATTGAGTCCGAGTCGACTTACGGGAGAGGCCCATAACCTGTTCCTACAAATCCCACTGTTATCGGCCACGAGCGCGAATCCAACTGGGATTGCCGGGTTCAATGGCATGACACGCTGGCATGCTGTGCCGCCTCTGTGCGCAGCCGTGGCCGGGGGTGGGGCAGCCTGTGAGGAGAGTGAAGGCACGTACGACAGGTGCGACGAAGCAGACGTTTCACTTGTTAAAATTATTGTTCTCTTGCCAATTGTCTTGAGGAGCCCCCAGCCGCCCGCCCCCCACCCCCCACCTCTCCCAATGGTTATCCCCATTGCATCCTCAAGGAGCGTCTCACGTTGAGTTGGCGAGCGACCGCTGTCACGCAAACAAAAAAAAAAACATTCACCAGCTTCGGCAAAAAGCACCCGGCTCAGGCGCTATTACGGTCCCGTGGGCATGAAAAAACAATGCGCGTTAGATTTTAGAATGAGCGGCGGGGGCGCCGCTGCTCACGCGTGCAATGCCGTCGCAAACTCGGTGTTGCAAGCGCAGACCTCTCGGCCTTGTCTCGACCGCTGCTAGCTCATTACGGCCACACAATCGAGGCCGATCGTGTGGCCGCAATGTCGTTTTGCCACCGCTGGCTCATCGCCATTGCGACTCATCGGTCCTGATGAGGGATGCAACGGGGAGGCTTCTGGAGAGCTCACTCGAGAATGGTATTTGGGTCTACTCTCCTACAGGCGTCTGATTATTATTATTATTATTTTTTTTTTTTACCAGGTATGGCCCGCTGCCCTATGTAACTATTTTCAGAAGCGACCTAGCCATGAAAAATTAGCGCTCAACGTATCATGCGCAAGTTTACATCAGTAGTCAAATACTCCAAACGCATGACGGTGATTCTCAATGTGTAGGGAGAAACCGGAGGACCCGGAGAGAAATCCACGTGACCAAAGGGGAGAGAGAGAGAGAGAACCCCCGCAAACTCTGAATATAGCAGGTCGGGATTCAACCCACGAACGTCCTGCATACCAGGCGAGGGATTTAAAATCTCCAAGGTACAGTGACGTCTTAGAAGCGTTGAGTGCACCCGACGGCACGCGGCCTGCCGATCACTACGCCCTGCGTATTCAGATGCGATGGAGATGGCGGGTTTACATGGTGTCCTCATTAGCATGACAAAATGGCATCCTAATTTGCATAAAAAAATGGCATCCTAATTCGCGTAGCAAAATGGCGTCATGGCCACTCACCCTGGGCCCGTCGTCCCCTGTAGGCCCCTGTGGTCCCGCTGGGCCAATGTCACCCTAGGGGGATGGTAACAAAAAAATAATAGTAACAACAACAACAACACAGCAGGGAAAAAGTCTGGACACACACACACACTGAAATTATACGAATAAAACTCAAACGTAAGTATGAAATGAAACACAGGCACGCGCAGTGAAGCGGGTTAAACAATGAGATAGTGTGCATCAGAAGTCAATTCTTTACCCAAAAATAACATTGAATTAATTCTCAAGTCCACAGGAGTCTCACAGCAGGGGGGGGGGGGGGGGAGGAGTAATCTCAATTTACGGCGTGAGCTTTAAATCGTGTCGGGGGAGCACACACACTCACCCGGCTGCCCTTCTCGCCTGGCAGACCCGGTAAGCCATCGAATCCCCGATCGCCCTGCAAATCAAGCGGAGAGTCAGTGGGGAGGATCACGAGGAGGAGGATGATGATGAGGATGATAATGATGATGAGGATGATGAGTATGATGATGAGAATGATGATGATTATGAGGATGACGATTTGATGAGGATAATGATGAGGATGATGAGGAGAAGGAGGATGATGATGATGAGTATGATGATGAGAATGATGAGAATTATGAGGCTGACGATTTGATGAGGATAATGATGAGGATGATGAGGAGGATGATGATGATGATGATAATTATGAGGATGATGATGAGGATCATGAGCGAGAGAGGGAGGGTGACGGCGTTGTACGATGGACAGTGAGACGATCGCGGGCCTGGATGTACACTAAAACTATAGTAAATAGGTTCAAAGAAAATAACAAAAAACTACGACTTTTCCGATCGACCGCTTGTGTTGCAATCGAAACATCGTAGTTTTGTGTCATTTTCTTTGAACCTATCTACGTGACTTTACCGAAAGACCCAAAGAATATGAATTCCTGCAGTCACGAAAGCTTTAAGTTAAGCTTTTATTTTACTGCTCCAGGTGTAAGGCCCATTGACATATGTCGCTCTTTTTCATAAGTGTCCTGGCGACGACAAATGATAGCTCAACGAAGCGGCGTATCATCATCACGTGGAAATTTACAGCAGCCAAATGCTCTTAATGCGTGGCGTAGACTCTAACTGCGGAGGGAAAAACCGAAGGACCCGGAGAAAAATCCACACTACCGCGGGGAGAGACACACAAACTCCAAATATACAGCAGGCGTGGGCGCCGGTATTAAACCCAGGACCTGCTGTACGCCAGGCGAGGTAGTTAACATCTCCTAGCCAACACGGATGTGAAAAAGGCCCTTGGCGTTCTGGGGAGTCGAGGAAGCCTTGCCTTGCTGCCTTCGTTGCCCGGCATCCCTCTCGCTCCGTCGGCGCCGGAGCGCCCCTGAAAAAAGCAAAATAAAACCAATTCAGTTAAGCATCACTGACATCCGCGTGACTACGACGCCGTCCTTCGCGCGTGCCATCAAGCAAACCGATGACACGGGGGTCATATTTCGTTTTTTGTCATTATTGCTTTGGCGCGCTTTTGCTGGGCGCAGAGCTCAAGTGGCAAACAAAAATCCGAGTGGCCGGAAACAAAGAGCACAGCCGAAGAGCACGACAGATGAGGGTGCAACAGCGTTTCTTAAATTGAGCGAGGTTACTTATTGTCAGCGCTTGGTGATTCGGTATGACGACGGCGGCGGTGGTGGTGGTGGTGGTGATGATGATGGGAGGAGAGAATTACAGAGTGGAGCAGTGGTGAGGGAAGTAGCAGAATGAGACGTGAGGTGAGCTGCAGTGTTGTGAGAGTGTGGGTGGGTGAGCGGGTGGGTGTGAATGAGTGTGCAGTTCGTATGTCCTCCCCCTGTTCCGTGTGGGTTCCCTTCGGGTTCCCTTCGGATTCCTCCCATAGCTCGGGGTAAAAAAAATAAAAACTGTGGATTCGGGGCATTGACCCAAAACATATTAGTGTTGATAATTGACTGGCAAAGTACTCAATTGAATCACACAAAAGTAGCCATTATAACACCATCATCATTATCATCATCATTAGCAGCAGCAGCAGGAGAAACATTAAATTCAGCATCATTCAGCAGCAGCATTCAGCAGCAGCATCGTCATCATCTTCGCCACATTCATCATCATCGTCATCACAGACCCCACGGGACACCGCAACAATCCACAGGCCGCCAACCCACAAAGCCTCTCTCGGAACAACGGCACCCACATCCAGAACGGCGCGTCGTGCCGACTAACGCGGATCGCGTCCTCTCTGTTCCCTCTCGCCGGGGGGTACGATGCCCCCACCTCCACTCGCCCTCCCACTCCCCCTCCCCCCTCCCCCCCACGGCACCGAGCCGAAACGCTAGGTCACGCCGAACTCGCTAAATCCAGAGACTCTGTGAATCGATAGTTGCCAGAGCTGCTGACACTGGGGCCGAATTATAGCCCCCCCCCCCACCCACCGCAGACTCTCCCCAGCCACCCCCCCTCCACTCCCCCCCCAGCCCCCTGGTCCCCCCCACCACCACCCATCGGCCGCAGTGGCACAAGCAGGGTTCACGGTGGCGGTGGTGGAGGAGGCCGGGACCCTGCTGCTCCCGATGACCCATGGCTCTTATCGGCGCTGGCTGGCTGGAGCCACGGCCCGGATCACCCACCGCCGATATTCCCCACGGTAGAGGAAGAATACATCTCAGAGGTAGCTCCGTGATGTCTGCTTCCTCGGGCTCGTCTCTGTGTGTACCAGAGTGTCACTTCAAGAAGTCACTTCCAGCCCTCTCGCGGAGGCTCATCGATGACACCGCACCGCCTATTCGATGCTCGAGACCGGGAGGACGTTTCTCAGATTGCTGGCAACCGCCCGACGATGCCGGCTCGGAGCTTCCGTCCGCCACTGCTGGGAGCGCTCGAGGTCACAGCCAGAAGGTCACCCACTCACTCACCCACCCACCCACTCACCCACCCACCCACTCACCCACTCACCCAGCCACTCAATCACTCACCCAGCCACTCACCCAGCCACTCACCCAGCCACTCACTCACCCACTCACTCACCCACCCACTCACTCACTTACCCACTCACTCACTTACCCGTCGGCCCAGCTTGCCCTGCTGCCCCTGGACCCCTTGCATTCCTCTAGGTCCCTGACCAAAAACAAAGGAATGAAGCATTAACGGCACGCACACATAGAGACACACAGACACACACACATATACACAGACACACATACATAGACACATACACACAGAGACGCACACACAGACAAAGACACACACACAGAGACACACACACAGAGACACACAACCACACAGAGACACACACACAGACACACATACACAGACACACACAGACAGACACACACACAGAGATACACACACAGACACACACAGAGACACACACACACAGACACACACACAGACACACACAGAGACACACACATAGAGACAGACAGATCTCCCCCACCCTCCCACCCCCGCGTAGCCTTTAACAGGCAGTCGGGGCAAGTTGCTGTGTGGCGAGCATTTGTAAAGGTCGGCACGGCACACGAGACGGGGTGGTGGTGTGACCGGAACCACGCCCGACCGCCTTCGGTAATCAAAATCTTTGTTCGTTCGGTAAGAAGAAGAAAATCCGAAGAGCTACCAAGCTCCTTTTCGCAGACGTCTCCCCTCCCCCCCCCGTGGCGTTGTTTATGCACCCCAACAGGTGCCTCGATTAAGGCCGAGTCGACCTAAGAGAGGCCCGAGCACAGATTTGGAGGATCGTGACGGATGTTCGTGATGGGCGAGAACAGAACTCGGGTCGCCGAGGTTCGCACCTCCGATTGGCTACGTACGGTGTGAAAGAAGTTCAACATACGCACTACGCATAGACTCACCATTACACAGAGACTCACCACTACGCATAGACTCACCATTACACAGAGACTCACCACTACGCATAGACTCACCATTACACAGAGACTCACCACTACGCATAGACTCACCATTACACAGAGACTCACCACTACGCATAGACTCACCATTACACAGAGACTCACCATTACACAAAGACTCACCACTACGCATAGACTCACCATTACACAGAGACTCACCACTACACAGAGACTCACCATTACACAAAGACTCACCACTACGCATAGACTCACCATTACACAGAGACTCACCACTACACAAAGACTCACCACTACCCATAGACTCACCACTATGCAGAGACTCAACACTGCCCATAGACTCAACACTGCCCATAGACTCAACACTGCCCATAGACTCAGCACTGCCCATAGACTCAACACTGCCCATAGACTCAACACTGCCCATAGACTCAACACTGCCCATAGACTCAACACTGCCCATGGACTCAACACTGCCCATAGACTCAACACTACCCATAGACCCAACACTGCCCATGGACTCAACACTGCCCATAGACTCAGCACTACACATAGACTCAACACTGCCCATAGACTCAACACTGCCCATAGACTCAACACTGCACCATAGACTCAACACTACCCATAGACTCAACACTACCCATAGACTCTACACTGCCCATAGACTCAACACTACCCACAGACTCAACACTACCCATAGACTCAACACTACCCATAGACTCAACACTACCCATAGACTCAACACTGCACCATAGACTCAACACTGCCCATAGACTCAACACTCCACCATAGACTCAACACTACCCATAGACTCAACACTACCCAGAGACACAACACTGCCCATAGACTCAACACTGCACCATAGACTCAACACTGCACCATAGACTCAACACTCCACCATAGACTCAACACTGCACCATAGACTCAACACTCCACCATAGACTCAACACTGCCCATGGACTCAACACTGCACCATAGACTCAACACTCCACCATAGACTCAACACTGCCCATGGACTCAACACTGCACCATAGACTCAACACTCCACCATAGACTCAACACTGCACCATAGACTCAACACTGCCCATGGACTCAGCGCTGCACCTGCGATGAGCACGGTTGGCTGAGTACAGAGCCGCAGTGCCGCCAACTGCTGCGCCACCGGTTCCCCACAACACACACTACCCTAGGAACTACAAACACAACCACAACCACAGCTCGTGAAGAGTTCCTCCAACCCCCTCCCCCCACCCCGACCTCGCCCCAGGGAGAACATCACAACCGAGCCAAGATTACACAAAACCCTCGACACATTCGCCAATTGCACCACGGCCCGAACGTGCGTTGAACTTCTTCCGCACCGTACGTAGACCGACCGCAGGAGGTTCAAACTATAGATGACGTGAGTGTGCATCGCCCAATTGGCTGCCTAATATCGGAAGGAAGAGCGTTCCAGACGGCCGCGCAATGGCTGCCGCCAGTCATGTTTAACGGCGCTAAGGACGGAAATCAGCCGTCAACAACGGACCACCTTCGGCATCCTTTAGAGGCGCGTCGTGAGCTGAGTGAGGGATGTGGGGGGACGTGGGGGGACGTGGGGGTACGTGGAGGACGTGGGGGGACGTGGGGGGACGTGGGGGTACGTGGGGGCCGTGGGGGTACGTGGGGGACGTGGGGGTACGTGGGGGACGTGGGGACGTGGGGGGCTTCGGGGGACGTGGGTACGTGGGGGTACGTGGGGGTACGTGGGGGGACGTGGGGGACGTGGGGGGACGTGGGGGACGTGGGGGACGTGGGGTACGTGGGGTACGTGGGGGAAGTGGGGGACGTGGGGGACGTGGGGGGCTTCGGGGGACGTGGGGTACGTGGGAGTACTTGGGGGACTTGGGGACGTGGGGGGACCTGGGGGGACCTGTGGTACGTGCGGTACGTGGGGGTACGTGGGGGTACGTGGGGGACGTGGGGGACGTGGGTACGTGGGGGTACGTGGGGGACTTGGGGGACATGGGGGACGTGGGGATACGTGGGATACGTGAGGGACGTGGGGTACGTGGGGTATGTGGGGGTACGTGGGGGTACGTGGGGGTACGTGGGGGACATGGGTACGTGGGGGTACGTGGGGGTACGTGGGGGACGTGGGGGTATGTGGGGGTATGTGCGGGACGTGGGGGACGTGGGGGGACGTGGGGGGACGTGGGGGAACTTGGGGTACGTGGGTTACGTGGGGGACTTGGGGGACTTGGGGGGAGACGTGGGGGGACTTGGGGAACTTGGGGGACGTGGGTACGTGGGGGACTTGGGGACGTGGGGGGACGTGGGGGGACTTGCGGGAACTTGGGGGACGTGGGTACGTGGGGGCACGTGGGGGACGTGGGGGTACGTGGGGGGACTTGGGGTACGTGGGGGGGCGTGGGGGCGTGGGGCGACGTGGAGTGACGTTTGGTGACATTACCTGTGGGCCCGGCTCCCCGGATTCCCCCTTGATGCCCGGTATCCCTGGAGGTCCCTGTGATGAAGAAAACGCAAAACATTAAAACAAATCTCAATCTTTGCCGATATATACATGTGTGTGTGTGTGGTTTTTTTTTTAAATCCGGTCAGTTATTTTCAGTGGACATAACCCTTTTGAATTTCAGAATCAACGTATTTATTCGTACTGGTGGAATCCGATGAGCTTTGAAGCTCTTTGTCACAGACGTTCAATCATGGTACTGCAGCAGGAAAGAGTGCGCCCACAGGTGTCCTTGCTGTGTCTAGGAACGTTTTTTTCTTTCTTTCAGTTTTCTTTCAATGTATCGTTGTAATTATTATAGTATTATTATATTTCAACTCCCTTGCCCCGGCGATCCCTGCTGTTGAGTACCTGGCCCTGTTCAGATCCAGGCCCGAGGTCCTTTCCTTTACACCGCTCTCGCTCTCTCTCTCTGTAAATTATATATGCGCCCTGTGCAGAATCTTTAATATGATATAAAGCCAAACTGCGCGTGGACGAGAGTGATTTCACCGTCGATGGAGGCTGCCCTCGCAGAACGCCGGGAGGAGGCTCGGAGTGCTTTACAATCTCGCATCATAACATCTCGACGCACCTGACAGGGCTCCCCCCCCCACCCCCCCCCCCCCCAGTGGCAGCTGTCCCTGTGCGGCACATCGTGACTTAGCACCCGGCCTGCAAGCCGGCCCTGAGTCTGCCGCTCAGTAGCGGGGGGAGAGGGGGGAGGGTGTCGGCCGATGATCGCTGCTGTGCGTGGATAGCAATTTGAGTAGTCTGCGGTGTAATTGTTCGTGATTTGGCAAATGGTGCCTTTGCGATGAGTCGTGCTCACACCTGGCCCCGGTGTTAAAAATAAAATAAAAACCCTCTTTCAATTCACCCCAGGGAGCATCCACTTGGCATACGCCCTGGCTCAGGGGGTGTTCGTGGCACCGCGAATTGAAATTCTTGGGGAGCCGGAATAAGTTGAATGGAGCGCCAAACTGAATTCGAACGATGATGCGGGTCAGGCATCAGTGACCCCGGCGGGCTGAGGCCATCCAATTCTCTACACCTGAGAGAGGCCGAGGAGGGTTGAATAATAATTTACATTTATTTGTAAGGCGCCTTCCACGAATGTCTCAAGGCGCCTTGTAAGAATAAGGATGAAGGAAAGGGCCAAGAGAGAGAGAGAGGGAGAGAGACGGAGATGCTTAAACAGAATCAACTGATATATATTTTATTATTTTGTTGTTTCCCTTCAACGTGACTTTACCGAAAGAACTAAGAATATGAATTACTGCAGTCACGAAAGCTTTAAATCAAGAATCAACTGACTTAAGGAGATGTGGTTTTAACACTGAGACTTAAAAAGTGTCCGCATTCTCGGATGAATGAATTTCAAACGGTGGGGAAATTCCACAACCGTGGCGCGGCAAAAGCAAGTGGCCGTCTGGCTGAACATCCGATTCGAACCCAGGGTCTGCACGAGTGCATGCAACACACGCACAGCACGCACACACACACACTAGTAATAATCATCATCATCATCGGCGAACAAATAAGCCAACCGAACGCTGATATTTTTACACAATGCCCGCGTCGTCGCGATGGAGACCCGCGATTCAAAGCTGTCCCAGCAGAGGGCAGCATCGCTGTGCACGAGTGTGGCACACCCGTGCAAAAAAGCCATTCCAAGAGTGGCGAGCCACGTGCGGAGGGGGGGCGGGTAAAGGAGGTTGTGGATTGAGCGGGCGATTTAAAAGATGACGCTGCCACCCAGTGGAGTGAGTTAGAAGTTGCGTCCCTCTGTGCAATATTTCATCATCATCATCATCATTGCCATCGTCGTCATTGGCCTCATCAGTGCCAACGGACGTCATCACCATCACCATCATCAGTGTCACGATCACAAACATTGTCGCTACCATTGGTCTCATCACCAACATGGGTATCGCCCCTTGTTTTATTTATTATTATTTATTTATTTTACGTTTGATTCGTGCGCCTTCGAAGCTTCGATGGACTCGGCCGTCGACCGCTCGACAGGAGCGTCTCCCCCGGCCCCAGGCGAGAGCCTCCGCGAACCCCTGGGGGGCCGGAGCTTTCATTAACCGGCCCCAGTTTTACGTCACGTGATTCACCTCCCTCCACCGCCCCCCCCCCCCCCACGCCCCCCTTTCGTTGCGACGCAAATTGCGTTCGTGTGGAACCATCGCCCCGGAGGGACGGACGGAGGGACGGAGGGAAGAGGGCACAAGACCACCGAGGCAGGCACCAACGCATATTCGTGCTCGGTGAGAAAGTGTCAAGACACGCAACAACGGGGCCCCGCAGGTCAAAGGTTAACGCCGCAGCTTTTAGAAGAGAGGAGCGGGGTGCATCGCCGAGGGAGCGACGATGGCCCCCCACCCCGCCCCGCCCCCCCAGACTCCCCCCTCCGTGACCCCACGCTTGTTACGGGGACATCGCTTGCCCGCGAGCGATGTTTTTTGTCCTGCGCCTTTGAGTGAACTGCTCAGTTTTGTTGAGATTTTAACCGATGCCGTCGTTTTGTTCGGTGCAGTGTCGTTGTTGATTGATGGCGCAATCATTTTATATATTTCGATTTAAAGCTTTCGTGACTGCAATGATTCATCTTCTTTGGTTCTTTCGGTAAAGTCACGTAGAATGAGAATAAAATAATAAATTGATAAAATAATATAACACAATAATATTCTCACGACGTTTCGGCCACAACACAAGCGGCCTTCATCAGGTGAAGGGACGAGGCTGTCCTACCAGACAGCCTCGTCCTTCGCTTGTGTTGTGGCCGAAACGTCGTGAGAATATTATTGTGTTATTTTATTTTATCAATTTATTATTTTATTCTCATTCTACGTGACTTTACCGAAAGAACCAAAGAAGACATTTTATATATGTTGTGTTTTTTTTTTAATTCGATATTTAAACGGTGTGATAATAGGTTTTCCCCTTTTTTTCTGGCAATACATTGGTACTGGCAAAGGAGATTCCATGATTCCACTATGTTACCCTATTTGTATTTTTTGTATTTTTTATATTTAAATTATATCTTAAAGCTATTTTATATTCGATATTTATTTAATTTTATATACTTCAGCCTTTTGATGTTAGACTTTTAACCCTTATTATAGTAAGACTTGTTTAAAACTTATTTAAGATTTTAGATTCCTATATGTTGAATGTATGCACCATCCTGCCAAAGTAAATTCCGTGTCGGTGTGAACTTACATGGCGAATAAAACCCTTTCTCATTCTGATTCTGATGATTGAAACGGTGTGTTTTACTACTGGCACTTTGTGTGACTAATCTTGCACTTTTTTAATTCCGTACTTAGCTCAAAAACTTTTAAAAGATACATCTTACATTTCAAATGTTATAATGTCTTACCTTTCTTTTTTTACTCATTCAATCATTCGTTTTATTATTATTATTAATTTGTTTTTCTCTGTTCTGTCTGTCACAGACACGGCGCGCGGGTTTTTATTGATGAAACCTGACTCAGACAAGAGAGTCTGAGCTCACAGAGAACTTCACATTACACTAAAACTGTCCAACCACCACCCCCCCACACCGTTACCCCCCACGCCACCTCCTCCCCCACGTCTCCCCCCCCACCGTCTCCCCCCCACCGTCTCCCCACCACCGTCTCCCCCCATCACCTCCCCCCCCACCGTCTGCCCCCACCGCCTCCCCCCACCGTCTCCCCCCCACCGCCTCCCCCCACCGTCTCCCCCCATCGCCTCCCCCCCCACCGTCTGCCCCCACCGCCTCCCCCCACCGTCTCCCCCCACCGCCTCCCCCCACCGTCTCCCCCCATCGCCTCCCCCCCCACCGTCTGCCCCCACCGCCTCCCCCCACCGTCTCCCCCCCTACCGTCTCCCCTAACCACCTCCCCCCCCCCACCGTCTCCCCCACCGCCTCCCCCCCCCACCATCTCCTCCCACCGTCTCCCCCCCCCCCCACCGTCTCCTCCCAACGTTTCCCCCCACCAGCCTCCACCCCCCACCGTCTCCCCCCACCGCCTCCACCCAACCGCCAACCCCCCCCTCCCACCCCCCACCGTCTGCGTGACCCACGTCTGTCACGTGGCTCTGTCTCGCTGACCCCGGTGTTTTGTGGAGACTCAGGGAAGGGATCAACAGCCCCCCCCCCCCCACTCCCCCCCCCACCCCGAGGCTAAGGGACGAGGCCACGAGACAGCGGCCGCCAGGAGCACGCCCCGGGCCGCGAGCCTCGGCGGCCGTCGTCGTTAACGCCGGGCGGCGCATCGTTAAAGACGGGAAATAATTCTCGGGGAGCGATTATCTCCGTGGTGACCGAGTGGGGTTTGGTTGGAGGAGGGGGGATGCGTGTCGTGTACGGACGGACGCACGCGCAGACACACACTCGCTCGTTCACCCACCCGTTGGCTCGCTCACCTGCACACGCGCTGGAAATCACTCGCTCGCCAAGTCAATCGTTGGCTCGCACGCTCACCCAATCGCCCGCTCAGTCGCTCACTCGCCCGCCCGCTCAATCGCCCGCCCGCTCAATCGCACACCCGACCGCACGCGCATTCATTCACTCAACCACCTACTCAATCGCTCATCTGCTCACTCACCCACTCGCCAACTCACTCATTCACCCACACATGCCCAAAAGCACCCACTCACCCACCCACTCAATAAGTCACCCGTTCGTTCACTCACTCACCCACTCACTCACCCTCTCATACACTCACCAACTCACTCACCCATGCCCAAAATCACCCACTCACCCACCCACTCAATAAGTCACCTCGCTCGCTCGCCTCGCTCACTCACCCACTCACTCACCCTCTCATACACTCACCAACTCACTCAACCACCCATGCCCAAAATCACCCACTCACCCACCCACTCAATAAGTCACTCGCTCGCTCGCTCGCTCACTCACCCACTCACTCACCCTCTCATACACTCACCAACTCACTCACCCACCCATGCCCAAGATCACCCACTCACCCACCCACTCACTAACCCACCGACTCACCCACCCATTCAATAAGTCACTCGTTCGCTCACTCACCCACTCACTCCCCTCTTATACACTCACAAACTCACTCGCCTACCCACTCACTCACAGGAAGACTGACAGATTTTAGTTTCCCCCTCCCCTCCAGGGCAGCAGCTATCTCCTCAACACGACAACGTTCCCTGGAAAACCGGGACAGGTGGCAGCCCTAGCCAACGACCCATGACAGAGGGGGGCACAGAGAGAGGGAGGGGGGTGGGTGGGTGGGGGGGGTGCGGTGGCCTTACCACAGGGCCTGTACGACCGGTGAAGCCTTGCGGCCCTTGTGGACCCCTCATTGCGAGCTGCGGAAATGAAAAACGAGGAACCGCATCAGAACCTGCGGCGAGCATTCGAGCGTAGGTCACGTGTCGTCGTCGTCACCATCGTCATCACCGTCGTCTTTATCATCATCACCATCGTCATCGTCGTCATCACCATCATCATCAACATCGTCATCATCACGATCATCAACGTCGCCATCGTCCTCATCATCATCATCATCACCATCGTCATCATCATCAATGTTACGGGCGGAGTGAGTGAGCGGGTGGATGAGTGGGTGAGTGGGTGGGTGAGTTATTAAGCAGGTGGATGGTTGAGTGACTCGGTAAGTGAGTGAGTGAGTGAATGAGTGAGTGAATGACTGAGCGAGTGAATGAGTGGGTAAATGAGTGAGTGAGTGAGTGGTTGAGTGAGTGGGCAAGTAAGTGAATGAGTGAGTGAGTGGGTGGGTGAGCGAGTGGGTGATTGATTGAGTGAGTGGGTGAGCGAGTGGGCGAGTGGCCCTAACAGTGGCAGCCTCACCCTGGCCTGCTGGAGGATGGCCTGTGCCTGTGCTTCCTGTGCAGAGAGCCCCGGTCCTTTCTGCCCTTCCTGTACCCCGCCACCAAAGCGGAACTGCGAGGAGGAAGCCAGGGGCAACGATAACAATGGCGACGGTGATCACAACAACAACAACAGATAACGGAGAAGAAGAATCTTCAATTACACTGTGTCACAATTTTTTTATGTTTTTTTGTTCCTGGGTAGTAAGTGTTATTTCCTAATTGCGTATGCCTCAAAAGTAGAAAAAAAATGGCTATTATTCCCCATAAACTTTGCGTTTGTGACCAGGACATTGATATTTTGAAATGTACCTATTTTCCAGAACATTACAGATAGATTCAATGCTGCGTAAACTTGGAGTAACTTCTGGAACCTTCTAGAACTTTCCACTACTATAAATAGTAGTATAAATACAGGGGCCTTAAGCCCACCAGTTCAGTTGAGTTCCAGCTGCCAAAGTAGATACACATCTGCATTTTTCTTAGATGGCATCAAGAGGCTGCAAGCATCGGCATGTTGCTCTGTCTGCGGCCAATTTATCAAGACAAGAGCGAAAAAGTTATCTGTGGAAGCATCACGCAATAACACGCAATAACACCGACTACCCAGGAACAAAAATTGTGTCACATCGTGTTATTTATCCTGCATACGGCAGCGTGCGAGGTGCTCAGGAGCTGAATGCCGGCGTCGATGTCCTGCTGGCCACGACGAGAGGGCTTCAGCAGAGAGAGAGAAAGTGAGAGAGAGAGAGTTCGCAATCGAGACATGAACCGTGATGGTTGCCGCATCGGCGAAGGTTACGTCCACCGAACGTCGCCGCCGGCCAGCCGCGACCGCCCCGTGATGGACGGTGACACGATGAGAGTGGCGCCGGTTTCTGCCCGTGCGCGTGTGGATGCTATGAGAATGTTAACTACCGCGCCTGGTATACAGGAGGTCGTGGGCTCGATCCCGACCCTGTGGGTGACTGCTGCATATTTGGAGTTTGTGGTGTGTCTCTCTCTCTCTCTCTCCCCGTGGTCCCGTGGATTTTTCTCCGGGTCCCTCCGGTTTTCCACTCCACATTTAGCATCAACGTCACGCGTTCAGAGTATTTGGCTTCTGCTATAAATGTGCACGTGATGATGATGATGACGATAAGCCCACTTCGTTGAGCAGTCATTTGTGGCCGCCAGGTGGCTTCTGAAAGAAATCTACGTATCTCAGTGGGGCCTTACACCTGGTACAATGACAACAAAAGTTAGTTTAATAGTTTGAGTGCACATCCAGGCCCGCGATCGTCTCACTGTCCATCGTACCACGTCGTCACCCTTCCTCCTCCCTCCCTCCCTCCCTCCCTCCCTCCCTCCCTCCCTCCCTCCCTCCCTCCCTCCCTCCCTCCCTCCCTCCCTCCCTCCCTCCCTCCCTCCCTCCCTCCCTCCCTCCCTCCCTCCCTTCCTCCCTAATCATCCTCATCATCATCCTCATAATTACCATCATCATCATCCTCCTCGTCCTCATCATCCTCACCTGGTAAAATAAACTAAAAAGATAATAATAAAATAATAAATAACAGACAAAAAATTGTAGATTATTTTTTTGCTGTTCGTAGTTTCCTTTTTTTATCTTGGAATGCGGTGAAGCCGCGCGCTGCAATGGACCTTCCCACCACCAATTCCTGCCTTTTGTTCCCATCGGGGCGTGCCCGATTTCACGCCGCGGCCACTCAAGATCCACTCGTGCGCCGTCAGTGCCGGGGGTGGCACATTCTCAGCGCTCGCGTGAGGGTCGAGGATGCACGGGCGACTCACCGGTAACATGAGGACGTTGCCCGGAGGCCCGGGGATTCCATCGGCCCCAGACAAACCCGGGCGGCCCGACTGGCCCTGCGAGAGAGGGCAACACCGGGTGGGGTGTAGAGATTAGCGGACGACGAGGAAAGGGAACGAGATCGTCATTTACAATCCTACCCGCCCACCCCCGCCCCCTTACGTGACCCCCAAGAATCGTCACGATCGGAGGTCAACCGCCGCCGTCACCCGTCGTGCGATGAGTCCGGGTTAGGGCGGCAGCGCGGGCCGCCATCGTCGCTCGCGACAGAGGTTTCCGGCGCGGTTCGAGTGGCCGCTCCCCCCCCCCTCCCCCCGTGTGGTTAATACCGCGGTGCGACAGCCAAAACGACACCACCACCGCCACTACGACTACTACCACCACCACTTTCGCTCGCAACGGACGCTCGGGACGTCATTCGCCATCGCGGCCGGGGCCCTCGCGGCCGGGGCCATCGCGCGCCGAATTTGGAAATGTACACCGGACGTTACGACGGTGATGTCGCACGCAAGCTCATCCATCAATCCGTCGCCGGGTGGAGGGATGCACCCCCCCCCCCCAACACCACCCACCCCCCCCCCCCGCCCCAAATCCTCAAGCCACCGTCGGTCGTTCAAATTTTCTCGACCGAACTTCACCAGTCCGGTGAGCGCGGTGGTGGCCGTGGGTGGGAGGGGGGGGTGGGGGGGTGAAGTCTGGTGTGCAGGTCCCAGTCCCGGTCCACGCCGCCGCCATTTAGCCCGGGGGCCTTCGGGGTATCGGATCTCGGCCACGGAAAATCGTCCGCTCGCCAGCCGACGTGAGCTGTGGCCTACAGGCACCGGTGAGGCGAGGCTGCCACCCCCACACACACCCCCCCCCTCCCCCACGATCACTCATCACGTGAAGTGTGGAAGGCTCGCTGGAGTGAGGTCACCCGAACAGTCCCAGGTGTTGTGGGTTAGCCGATGTGCCAGGCTAGGTACACTCTGAGGCCGTCACGTGAAGCGTGGAAGGCCCGCTGGAGTGAGGTCACGGGACAGGCCCAGGTGTTGTGGGTTAGTCCCAGCGAGATGAGACGAGACAGCTCAGTTAATCAGCCCAAAACGCACACACACACACTCACGCGCACAGACATACACACACGCACACTGAAAGTACAACTCCCCACAGAGCACTCCACTCTCGGCCAAAAAGTCCTCACTATAATTTATCGCCTGCTTCGTGGCCCCCAAATGCTTTTAACGCTCTGTTACGTCAACGTCTACTCCTACTCCTCCTCCTCGTACACATCGTTCTTAGAATGTCCCATTTATTTATTTACTACTACTACAACAACAACTAACCGACAGGGAATTCGCAGATTCGTTGGAGCCCCCCCCCCCCCCGCGCCGGAGAGACGACCGCAGCGCCGATGAGAGATATCATCGTCACAATGGAGATCATCGTCACAACGGTGAGATCATCGTCACAACGGAGATTATCGTCACAACGGCTGAGATCATCATCACAACGGAGATCTTCGTCACAACAGTGATCATCATCACAACGGAGATCATCATCACAACGGTGAGATCATCGTCACAACGGAGATCATCGTCACAACGGAGATCACCGTCACAACGGAGATCATAATCACAACGGTGAGATCATCGTCACAATGGTGAGATCACCATCACAATGGTGAGATCATCATCACAACGGTGAGATCATCATCACAACGGTGAGATCATCATCACAACGGCTAAGATCACGTCACAACGGTGAGATCATCGTCACAACGGTGAGTTCATCGTCACAACGGCTGAGATCATCGTCACAACGGTGAGATCATCATCACAACGGCTGAGATCACCATCATAACCGATGGATCACCGTCACAAACGGAGACATCAAAGCTGTCCATTTTTTTGTGCCTTCCTCCCCGCTCGGGTGGCCAGGTGGGAACCGGTTATGCAGCAGTCACCGCTCATTCCACAGTGGCATCGTCAGAGGGCAGCGCGCCACTTCAAAAACTCCACCCTGCCCACCCGGCCAGGGTTGATGGGCTGGTGGAAGATGGGTGTAGTGGTGCTGACACATTGGGGGCAGGAGACCTCCTACCTCCCCCGCTTCCCCCCCCCCACCCCCCACCGTCTGACGTACAGGCTGAGTGATCGGGGGCGTCGATCTGGCGAGACGGGAGACACGAATGGCACGAGATGCGACGGCGGAATCGAAAATGGGAATATTTATTGTCGCCGGAGGAATCCGATGAGCTACGAAGCTTTTGTCCTCACGGATGTCCAGCAGGTCTCATCAGATGTCCAGTAAGTCTCATCAGATGCCCAGTATAGTTGGATGTCCAGTAAGTCTAACACTTGTCCAGTAAGTCTCACAGATGTCCAGTAAGTCTGACGGATGTCCAGTAGAGTTGAATGTCCAGTAAGTTTCACAGATGTCCAGTAGAGTTGGATGTCTAGTAAGTCTCACATTTGTCCGGTCAGTCTCACTCCATAAGTCTCACCGATGTCCAGTAAGTCTCACGGATGTCCAGTAGAGTTGAATGTCCAGTAAGTTTCACAGATGTCCAGTAGAGTTGGATGTCTAGTAAGTCTCACATTTGTCCAGTCAGTCTCACTCCATAAGTCTCATCGATGTCCAGTAAGTCTCACGGATGTCCAGAAAGTCTCATCATATGTCCAGTAGAATTGGATGTCCAGTAAGTATCACATTTGTCCAGTCAGTCTCACTCCATAAGTCTCACCGATGTCCAGTAAGTGTCACGGATGTCCAGAAAGTCTCATCAGATGTCCAGCAGATTAGGAGGTCCAGTAAGTATCACATTTGTCCGGTAAGTCTCACTCTATAAGTCTCACGGATGTCCAGTAAGTCTCACAGATGTCCAGTAGAGTTGGATGAGAGAGAAGAGTGACAGAGGTGAAAGAGACGCTCATGATCTTGTTATGCTCATTTCCGATTAAAATTTGGAGATGTCTGATTCCCGCCCCCCTCCACTCCCCCCTTTTACCCCCCAAGAAACTCAAAGCGCTGAACATCATCCAGCACGGCATTTTACGCAAGCCGGCGAGCGAGCAAAACTCTGGAACCGGTTTCAACCTTCGGGACCTCATCGGCGGATCCGGTGCTTTGCTGAAACAATCTCGTTGTCACGAAATATTATTAGCAGGAGCCCTCCGTATAAGCACCGGGGGCCCTGTGCCCGAGTGGGCAAGGGGCATTGTTTACAAGCTCATCACGGGCCCACATGGAACTAGGTTTGCATAATGCAAAACACTCTGCTGTTGCATATCCACAGTGGGAGAAGCAAAAAAGAGAGGTTACATTTGTATGAGTATTAATACAATTTCCGTCTCTTATTTGTTATTTATACGTGTGTGTGTGTGTTTGTGTGAGAATTTCGAGTGCGGAACGATGATATGTCTCTGGAAAGGCATCGCTGTAGGCCCTTGAAAGCAAACAGAAGACTAATGATGGATTAAATATAATGTGTCTATGTGTGTGTGTCTCTCTCTGTGTGTCTCTGTGTTGTCTCTCTCTCTCTGCTTGTGTGTCTGTCTGTGTGTCTCCGTGTCTGTGTAATCAACCAGGTGAGGTGTTGACTGATGTGTTAGCCGACTCTCTGTGTTGTATTGCATTATATTTCTAAGTTTGCCTGATTTGTTTTCCACCTGATGACGATTGCTTGTGTTGAAATCGGAACGTCGTATTCTATTATTTCTCTTATTTTCTTTTTACGTGACTTTACCGAATGAACCAAACAGTAATTCCCGCAGTCACGAAAGCTTCAAATCAAGTTTAAAAAAAAAAAATATTTCAAAAAGATGAATAATAATAATATTCTATTTAATGATTTGCATGTGTATTTATATGTTTATACAGACAAACGGAGTTCCACGTACCCTCCGTTCGGCGACGCACGTCGAGTTTCTAAGTTAGTTAGCGAGTTATTAAGTTAACAAGTTACTTAGTAAGTTAGTGAGTTAGAGGGGGGGGGGGGGGTTATGTTATAATTGTTATGCATTATGTATTATTTTCATCCGGCGAGGCGAACGAAGCTGAGCTGAGGAGCTGGGCTCTCGTAAATGTTTTAAAGAAAACTTCCGCTATGGTCCCCACCCAGAGAAACCCCTCGCACCCCCACCCTCTCACCCCCTCCCACCCCCTCCCTTCCCCTCCCCCACCCCTTCCCACCCCACACCCCCCCTCCCACCACTCCGCCCACCGACCCCCACCCCCCCTAGAAAAAAAAAACCCAAGTATTTGGGTTTGAGCGTAGATGGAGGCCTCCCGTTAGTGGCCACTCCCCAATTATCGCAATCTCCAGTATCTCCCGGTCTTCAATCAAAATTGTCCCCACAGGGGCTGACTCACATAGAGACTCCATAGACTCACATAGAGACCCCATAGACTCACATAGAGACCCCATAGACTCGCATATAGACCCCATAGACTCGCATAGAGATTAGAGACCCATAGACTCACATAGACACCCATAGAGACTCAAACACTCGCATAGAGAGCCATAGCTTCACATGGAGACCCATAGACTCACAGACAGACACCCGCAGGCTCACCCCATGCAACTCACAACAAAGACGCACAGAATCGCATAGATATTAAAAAGACTGGATGGGTGGGTGGATGAGTAGGTGGGTGGGTGAGTAGGAGGTGGGTGGGTAGATGAATGAGTGTGTGTGTGTCAGTGGATGATTGCGTGCGAGGAATGAGTGGGTCAGTCAGTGGATGGGTGGGTGATTTGGTGGGTGGATGGGTGGGTGGGTGAGTGAGTAGGTGGGTGAGTAGGTGGGTGAGTAGGTACAGTAGGTGGGTGGATGGGTGGGTGAGTAGGTGGGTGGGTGAGTAGGATGGATGGATGAGTAGGTGGACGGGTGAGTAGGAGGTGGGTGGGTAGATGAATGAGTGTGTGTGTGTCAGTGGATGATTGCGTGCGAGGAATGAGTGGGTCAGTCAGTGGATGGGTGGGTGATTTGGTGGGTGGATGGTTGGGTGGGTGAGTAGGTGGGTGAGTAGGTGGGTGAGTAGGTACAGTAGGTGGGTGGATGGGTGGGTGAGTAGGTGGGTGGGTGAGTAGGATGGATGGATGAGTAGGTGGACGGGTGAGTAGGAGGTGGGTGGGTAGATGAATGAGTGTGTGTGTGTCAGTGGATGATTGCGTGCGAGGAATGAGTGGGTCAGTCAGTGGATGGGTGGGTGATTTGGTGGGTGGATGGGTGGGTGGGTGAGTAGGTGGGTGAGTAGGTACAGTAGGTGGGTGGGTGGATGGGTGAGTGAGTAGGTGGGTGGGTGAGTAGAATGGGTGGGTGAGTAGGTGGGTGGGTGAGTAGGAGGTGGGTGGGTAGATGAATGAGTGTGTGTGTCAGTGGATGATTGCGTGCGAGGAATGAGTGGGTCGGTCAGTGGGTGGGTGGGTGATTTGGTGGGTGGATGGGTGGGTGGGTGAGTAGGTGGGTGAGTGAGTAGGTGTGTGAGTAGGTAGGTGGGTGGATGGGTGGATGAGTAGGTGGGTGGGTGAGTAGGTGGTTGGGTGAGTAGGTGGGTAGGTGAGTAGGAGGTGGGTGGGTAGTTGAATGAGTGTGTGCATCGGTGGGTGATTGCGTGCGTGAATTAGTGGGTCGGTGAGTGGGTGCGTGGGTGAGTTGTTGGGTGGATGGGTGGATCGGTGAGTATGTGAGTGTGTGGGTGAGTAGGTAGGTGAGTAGGTAGGTGGGTGAGTGGATGGGTGGGTGAGTAGGTGGTTGGGTGAGTAGGTGGGTAGGTGAGTAGGAGGTGGGTGGGTAGTTGAATGAGTATGTGCGTCGGTGGGTGATTGCGTGCGTGAATGAGTGGGTCGGTGAGTGGGTGCGTGGGTGAGTTGGTGGATGGATGGGTGGGCGGGTGAGTGGGTGGGTGAGTTGGTGGTGGGTGGGTGGATGGTAGTTGGGTAGACGAATGAGTGCATGAGTGGGCCAGTAAGTGCATGAGTCGGCCAGTGCTCGAGTGATTTGTGGGTGAGTAGGTGGGTGGGTGAGTAGGTGGGTGGGTGAGTAGGTGGGTGGGTGAGTAGGTGGGTGGGTGGGTCTGTGGTGAGCAGCGATTGAACGAGTGACCCAATTGACCTCGTATTCGCACTGTGCAGTCAACCAAATCTTTTTCTGGAAATAAAAACTGAATAAAATAATAGATCACGACGTTCCGATCGCAACACAAGCAACCGTCATCCGGTGGAACAGATACAGCAGTTCTGCTGTATCTACCTACGTGACTTTACCGATAGAACCAAAGAGTATGGATTCCTGCAGTCACGAAAGCTTCAAATCAAGATTGAGAACAAAATAGCGAGGTCGCCGGACATCTTGTGCCGGTTGGCGGCGTGGGCGATGTGATGGACGGATGCGGCTGGGCCTCGCGCGAGCGCGAGATAATTTATCTGGCGATGTCACACGTGCACGCACGCTGCGCGTCTTCGTCTCTATCTGGCCGGGCGGCGCTTAGAAAGCCACTCAGATTCGCCTTGCGGGGGGGGCAGGGGGTGCTGGGCCGAGGGGGGAGGGGAAGGATTGTGGTCAAATCTCAGTCGGCGGTCGGCTTGGCCAATCATCCTTCGTTGGGGGGTGGGGGGAGGTTATATCAAATCAATACCGCTTCGTGGGAAGTCAAATGTGGCTGTGTCGGTGGACGGGCTTGCCCCTGCCACACGACGGAGGAATTTACATCATTGGCCCGACGCGGCGTCACAGTCACGGCGTTGGCATCGGGCCCCAGCTGCAGGCTCGCGAGACCTTTGGGGCCTCGGGGTCGATTCGAATATTTAATTCGCCAACTGTGGTAGCCATTATGCGGCCGTCTGGAACGCCCTTTCTCTCCGATCGTTGCAAGCCGCTGGATTTGTGCACTTTGACATCATCGAGATTGTGAACTCATTCACGTAGAACCGCTTTTGGCCTTTAGATTTGTTGTCCTTCCCCCGCGCTTCCGATGAGCGCGGTTGGCTACGTACGGTGCGAAAGAAGTTCAACATACACACGTGCGGGGGTCGGGAATCGAACCTAATCTTTGCCAGGCGCGTAGAAGAGAGCGCGCCAAACCGCTGCGCCTCCGCTCACGCTCGGAGGTCAATCGAGGCGGAAAAAATTGAGACGTTCTGTCACTGTCATCATCGTCGTCGTCATCATCGCACCATCCTCCATCCATCATCGTAACCATTCGCGTCGGCTTTGACACGCGGCTCAGATCAAAGCGAGGCAAGGAGAGGGAGCGTGCGAGAGAGCGAGGGAGGGAGCAAAAAAAGAGAGAGCGAGAGAGAGAGCGAGAGAGAGGGAGCGGGAGAGAGCGAGAGGGAGCGAGGGAGAGCGAGTGAGAGAGCGAGAGGGAGAGAGGGAGAGAGCGAGAGGGAGAGCGAGAGAGTGAGAGGGAAAGAGAGAGGGAGAGCGAGAGGGAGAGAGCGTGAGGGAGAGAGGGAGAGGGAGAGAGCGAGAGGGAGAGCGAGAGGGAGAGAGTGAGAGGGAGAGAGCGAGAGGGAGAGAGGGAGAGGGAGAGAGCGAGAGGGAGAGCGAGAGGGAGAGTGTGAGAGGGAGAGAGCGAGAGGGAGAGAGGGAGAGTGAGAGGGAGAGAGCGAGAGGGAGAGCGAGAGAGTGAGAGGGAGAGTGAGAGGGAGAGAGCGAGAGGGAGAGCGAGAGAGTGAGAGGGAGAGAGAGAGTGAGAGAGGGAGAGGGAGAGAGCGAGAGGGAGAGAGAGAGAGTGAGAGAGAGAGAGTGAGAGGGAGAGAGAGAGAGAGAGGGTGAGAGGGAGAGTGAGAGGGAGAGAGAGAGTGAGAGCGAGAGAGGGAGAGAGTTAGAGGGAGAGAGAGAGTGAGAGGGAGAGAGTGAGAGGGAGAGAGAGAGGGAGAGCGAGAGAGCGAGAGAGGGAGAGAGTGAGAGGGAGAGAGGGAGAGAGAGAGTGAGAGGGAGAGAGGGAGAGCGAGAGGGAGAGCGAGAGAGTGACAGGGAGAGAGGGAGGGCGAGAGAGAGAGAGGGGGAGAGAGCGAGAGAGGGAGAGCGAGAGAGAGAGTGAGAGGGAGAGTGAGAGAGCGAGAGAGAGAGAGCGACATGGAGTAGATAGAGGATAGAGAAAGAGGGGGGGGGGGGGTGGCAGAGAGGGAGCTAGAGAGAGAGGGAAGGGGTAAGGAGAGCAGAGCGATACATATTTTGTTAAATATTTCATTTAAAAAAGGCGGGGGGGGTTACATAAAGCAAAGCATTAAAAAAACGAAATGATGACCGAAGCAAAGTGCCGACTACACCGAGCATCTTCTCGTTTCCTCTGGTCGTAAAACTAGGATCGAGAGCGAGACGGAGAGAGCGAGGGGAGAGAGACGGGCAGACAGGTTGTGCAAACAAGTGGCAGCGTTAACCTGATGGATGCTGTCGCACATGGACATGGAGCACGCACAGTGTATACACAACTCCCTCAAAGCAACAAAGGTCCCCCAGTGGAGCCTCTAGCAGACCGTAGGGGGCAAGTGCTGTTAGCGAGCAGCACCTGAGAAGGCCGGAACGGCACGCGATGGGGGTGGGTGGCCAGCACCACGCACGCCCGGCCGCCTTTGTCTCCCCTAGTGGCGACGTTTTACACATTTGAGGCTGACCGGTTCAGATCATCGTCACTGCTGTTGGCCGTGAGTGGGAATCGAACTCGGGCTACACCACCGCCGCTCCCCCACACACGCAGACACAAAGACAAAGATCACCCATGTAGCCTTAACAGACTGAATGGGCAGGTGCTGTTTGCGAGCAGCTAAAAAGGCCGGCATAGCCAGCACAACGCCCGGCCGCCTTTGTCTCCCTCGTAGCGATGTTTGCACATGATTTCAGGCCGAGTCTACCTAGGGGAGGCCCGGGACCGGTACCATATTTTCACTGTGATTGATCGTGAGCGGGAATTGAACTCGGGTCACCGGGTTCGTAGTGCAGAATGCTTAACCGCGATGCTACCGCTCCCCCCACACACTGACACACTGATGCACACTGAAACACTGACACACACACACTGACACGCACACTGACACACACACACTGACACACACACACTGACACGCACACTGACACACACACACTGACACACACACACACTGACACAAACACACTGACACACATACACACTGACACACACACACACTGACACACACACTGACACACACACACTGACACACACACACTGACACGCACACTGACACACACACACTGACACACACACACTGACACAAACACACTGACACACATACACACTGACACACACACACACTGACACACACTCACTGACACACGCACACTGACACGCACCCTGACACACGCACACTGACACACACTAACACACACACACTGACACACACACACACTGACACATGCACACTGACACACACACACACTAACACACACACACTGACACACACACACACCGACACACACACACCGACACACACACACTGACACACACACACACCGACACACTCATTCGCTACACCCACTGCACGAAGGACATTAAGATGGACAGATTACGAGGCAGGCGCCCAGGGGGTCAAGTCGCTTGCCCCCCTCCTCCCCCCACACAAGCCCCTCCCCCTACACGCCCCCCCCCCGTCTCCCCCAGCACTCCCCCGAGGACTTAGCCGACCTCTGACCTGGCGACGGCACTCACGTGGGGCGGTGGCGGAGACGCTGGGCCCCCCCCCCCCCCTAATTACTCGGCCCATCACCCGGCGGTGACACCGGTGACGCGGTGGGGGGGGGCGGTGGGGGAGTCGGACACGAACACAAATCACGCGCGTAGCACCCCCCACCCCCCCCACCCACCCAGCCCCTCCCCCACCCCCCCCCCCGCGCCACCGCTCACTCACCCTCTCTCCAGGGTCTCCCGGGGGGCCGGGAGGTCCCAGCGATCCTGGGGGCCCGGGATACCCCTACGGGGGGAGGGGAGGGGGGGGCAGAGGGCAGGGAGAGAGAGAAAAAAATGAATTCGCTGAACCGTGCACCGGGTAATTGCGGCGTGCGGGGCCTCGTTATACAACGGGTTCCGTGGCACGTGTGTGTGTGCGTGTGTGTGTGTGTGTATGTGTGTGTATGTGAGTGTGTATGTGTGTATGTGTGTGTATGTGTGTATGTGTATGTGTGTGTATGTGTGTGCGTGTGTGTATGTGTGTGTGTGTATGTGTGTATCTATGTGTGTGTCTATGTTTGCATGTATGTATGTGTGTGTGCGTGTGTGTGTGTATGTGTGTGTATGTGAGTGTGTGTGTATGTGTGCGTGTGTGTATGTGTGTGTGTGTGCGTGTGTGTATGTGTGTGTATGTGTGTGTGTATGTATGTGTGTGTATGTGTGTGTATGTATGTGTGTGTATGTGTGTGTATGTATGTGTGTATGTATGT